CAGGTTTTCTTGCAACTGCTGTTGTCTCTCTTCTTGTTTCTTTTCTTGTTCTTCTTGTTTCTTTTCATTTTCCTCCAACAACTGTTGTAATCTCTCTTTTTGGTTATTTTGTTGTTCGAGCTGCCACTGTTGCAGGTTTTCTTGCAACTGCTGTTGTCTCTGTTCTTGTTTATATTCTCATTCATCTTGTTTCTTTTGCTATTTTTGTATTGCTGCCATCAAATCTGCTAAGCTGTAGTTTGATTTTCCACCTCTCGTTTCCATCTTCTTCTTATTTTTATTTTCTATCCCACTTCTGACACCAATTTGTTACGTCTCAGTTCATTAGTTAATCTTCCTTAAAAATTCTTTCAGAAGAAACTTTAGCGATACAAGTCCTTTCTTAAATAAAACTGGTTTATTCTTTCTGAATACAACTTTGCAATACACTTAATTTCCACAGTCGCGCTATAACAAATGCTATAATTCACAATGAACATCTCACGTGCTCGACTCAACAATACTCTCTCTCTGTCCGCAGTTCAATTACAAATTGTTGCCGTCACATCTTGACCGTCTTATATGTACAAGAATACTGAATCTAGTAAGCTCTCGAGAAAGAGTCAGGAAGGGACGTGAACGTTGTACTAGCGTCAAGTGACCTCTGCTGTCATAACAGTATTATCAGCATAGAAATAAACATTACATTAGATATATATGGGTATATTTGTGTTGTATTTATATGTTCAGTTCCATATTTTAGGCAGTGGTGCATACAAAGGGGAGCAATTTTCCCCAATGGCCATCTAACCTGTCTTACTAACCTGTCTAATGAAAAATGAGGGAATGCATCTGTTATTGAGCAAATATTTATTGGAGTAATATGCCTCCAGACCCTTTAAACTTTAGCCTCCTCCCCCAATGTGGATGCACTGACTATAGGTGTATTTTTTGTATATAAATTAAATTTTTATTTGAATAAACCTAAAATCAGTAATGTTTTTTGTTTTGTTTTTAACAAGTTATGTTAAAAACAATTTTTTTCAACTTTTCATCAAGTTCTTTATTAAACTGCTTTTAACCGTCCTCTCAATATATATATAAAAGAGGAAGTTTGTTTATTTTGTTCGCTATAGGAAACCGAATGGTTGAACTCACAAATTTTAAGATAACTTCATAATAACAGTTTTTACAAGAAATTTAATGGTGCTATTTATTTTGTATTTGGTGTAGTATTTAATGACGAAGTTGACAATTAATGATTATTGTGCTATTTTTTGTAATAAATATACAAACATAAGCATGTTTTGTACATAGAAAGCATTATGGCGGGAGACACTCAGATCACCTTGCTGTCAATTCAGTATTTCCAAAAACAGTTTTCTTTAAATAATGCTAAATGATTTCATAAGTGATTTAGTAACTTTGTGAATTG